GGTGGGAGGGGGCTGGGAATGGCCCCTGGATATGCCGTGCCCAGGTCACTTGGTGTGACATTTCAAACCCCTGCGACTTGTTTTCTTGAAAACGCGCTTTAGTGATCGCAGGAAATAAGCGAGAGATACTGAATCTCCAGCAGGCCCCCGGGCAAGCACAAAAAAACAGGAGGCTCAGGTTTTACCCTTAACAAATATTTAACCCTTTGGCAGCCTGGGACAGTTCTTTCCCTCAGACCAGGCCTCACTTGGTGGACTCGGGAAACTGCCACCCTACCAGTCAATCCACTACTCTTTAAGGATCTCTGGCATTGGGTTTCCGTTTCCTTGTCCCTCGAGATAAATGACCCACAAGTATATCCTTCTTTGTCCAGGATTTGTTTTGAAAGACGGAAATGTCCTGAATAGGGGATAGCTCAGGTAGAGTCTGGTTAGGGAAGACGGGTCTGAGGGGCAGCTGTGGTCGCTGGATAAAGGAGTCGGTGCCTTCTGTTCGGAAGCTTTGGGCTGCTTGGATGGCCAGAGGCCACTGTCGGTTTTTCAGCGGAGCTGACGGCAGGATTCCATCACCGGGTCCCTTCCCCTCCCCGCCCCCATTAGAAAAGGAAAGCTGGAAGACTGGCAGTCAATTATTGAAAGAAAATGGGAGGTGGGAAAATCAAGCCAAATTTATATTTTACTTCCTCAAAGTCAAGGTGATGCTAGCACAAAATTTGAAGAGAACATTCCCTTTCTTTGGGATTTAGGAAATGGTGCCGAAAACTTAGAGATAAGGGAAGAGATCTGTAGGGTTAATGAGGACCAGCTTTACCTCTCAAGTGCCTAGAAACGGTTTTAATAATCAGGGTTAGGTTCTTTGAGGCTTCGCTCCCTTAACTGAGACCATTCCCTCCCAAAGAGAAATACAGATATTTCCTCTTACCTCCTGACTGGCCACTGGGTAGTATGCTAAACTTCCAAGAAATCTTAATTTTAAAAACTTCTAATTAATCCAGTTTATTGGGTTTCGTCATTTTTAAAAAGGAAACAACAGGTTCTTGAGTAAAGAATTTCATTAATGTTTATTGTTAATTAGCTCTGAATTTGTGCTTTTGACAGACTATTTTAATGCTATAAATGGAAACATCTGCTAATTACAGTGAACTCTTATTCTTGGATCAAATATCTAATTCCTCTTTTTGATATTTATGTGAGTGTGCTGATTTTGAATATTGGGAAATTACCCAGATAAAAGTGGTTACTGTGTATCAGGATGCCTGAAGCCATCTGTATTACTGTATAAAACATCATAAGCTCTTCTCCTGTAGTTTGCTGCTAGCTGCCCAAAAGGGCGGACTGTTTCCCATGTGGGTTACCAGGGAAAGGCTTTGACTTTGAAGCCTTATTGCAATGGTCGCTGGTGAGGTGTCAGATCTATGGTTGGTTAGTTACATTAATAAATATCAGTTTTACTGGTTCCCAGGCCATCTTTAAACATGTTCTGTAATACAGTTGGGATTTCCTTGTAAATTAAATTACCTGTAACAATTACAAATGTTGTATTTTATGCTTACTGAACTTTGAAAGTGAGACACCCAATTGTGTGGTAAAAAGTCAGTTCAATAAAAAGGGGCCATAGGTGGAAAATGGGAGTTATTTAACTAGGTTCACATTAGAATATTTTTTTCCAGAAGACCATCTAATAATTTGGATAACCCTGTATAATTGAGGCAGGAAAGGGATTCCCAGAGATGGAAAAGTTTATGGCCATTATACCACAAAATTTAATACATATTGAAAGGCTGCACAATTCTGGGAAATTCAGAGTCCCTGTGGCAGTATTCCCAACGAACTTTAATATTTAATGGGTTGTGGAACAGAAATCAGCCTTTCAATTTTGAATGTGGAATGGCTTAAAGCTCAGAGCTGCAAACACTGGGTTTAAGTGAGACATCATCTAAGATTGTTCTCTAGAAAATGTTAAGATTCTGCCACTGCTGCCTAGGGGAGGACATACATTGCCACACATTTAGTTAGCTGTGTTTTCCCATACAAATGATCACCAAAAGAGCAAGAGAATTAGCTGAATAGCAGCATGCTGGAGAGAGGAAACAATGAATGAATAATAAACTATTTGAAGAGAAGTTCCAAGGAGGAAATTCAGAGTTTATTAAACTGATGTAGGGAAGATTAGAGGCTTTTAAATATGGGTCTGATTGATGTAAAGGTAAACTCTCCTCAGGATACTGGGATTCAGTGCAATAATGAGGATTGGGTGACCAATTACAGACTAGCACCTTGTTGATAGAGCCCCTGCATGAACGATGCAGATAAACGCAGTTGGACTGAGAGTAGTAATGGAATAGAAAAAGGGCACAAGGAAATACTCATTGGGATCCAGATGTGGATTTGGGGTTGGCTCAATTTATAAAGCAAGTTTGGGGCCCCGCAGCAATCGGGACAGAAAGGCAGGAGTGCTAGGTGAGTTGGGCCTTCGGATTAGGGCACCTCAAGGTCAGGCGCTGGCGGGGGGAGAATGAGTCAGGGAGAGAGCGGAGGGGCAGTTCAGGAAGGCTGAGAATCTCCTTCCTGGGAAACAGGATATTTAAGGGGGTGGTTTGAATACAGAAGGCAGGAGAACCCCTGTGCTGGGGAGGTGGGAACTGGGAGAGAGAAGTGGAAGAATAGGGATGGTGAGGAGTAATCCCTTTCCAGATTATTGAGAACCAAGAATTTAGAAGGCTGGCAAGGAGCTCTGGAATTAAGGACCCAAGTGGTTTTCCCAGCTGGGGAAGGAAGGAAGAAAGAAAGGGAAGGCTGGTCCGGGAGGTGAAGTCCGGACCTAGGCTCAACGGGGGCGACGTTCGGGGTTGGGGGGGGTCACAGAGTCCCCGAGCGTCTGGAGCCAGGGAGAGGCTCCGGAACTTCGGGCAGGAAGCTGCGGCTGCGACATCCTGTTGAGCGTCCAGGATGACGACGAGCCCTGCCGGGCTCCCCGGAAAGCGAGCTGCCGCCGGGAGCAGGAAACTCAGTTGGGCAACCGCGTTGCGCACTCAAATGTCACAGCTTTTTCCTATTTGGCTCAGATTCTGGGCTCTGATGCCCGAGCGAAATTGTTGCTTTTGCTCCAGCTGTGCCCATTCGCACCGTCAGCTTTACAGGCTGGACCCAGCAGAGGCCTTTCGCCTGGACCCAGCGTGATCCACCTGTGGCCCCGCAGCCTCGGGAGACCCGGGATGCGGCCCCGGCGGCAGGAGAAAGCCAGTGGGTGGCACTCGTCCCCGCAGACTGGGAACAAGCTGTGCCGGCGCTCTCACCTGCGCGCCGCGCTCCCCGCCCCCTCCCCCCCGCCCCGTCCCTGGAGAGTTTAGAAGTCGTAAAACTCAGGGGAGTTAGAGCTTAAATCACTCTGTCTGCGCGGAACGCGCCTAAAAGGAGGCAACTCGAGACGCGCAGAAACCGTACCGGTCGCGAGGCTCCGCGCAGCTCCGCGCAGCTCCAGGCCCGATTCTCGCAAACTCCCCAGCCGGGCGGAGCCCGCATTCGTCTCCATCAAACCCCCTCCCCTCCCGGACGAGGGGGGCAAATGACACCATTCAATTAAATGTTTAATTGCGAATTCTGGTATGGTTTCTGGGAGGTTAATCACAGCTGTCTCAATTATTTATGGCTTTCTGGCAAATTTCCGACTAGATAAGTATATTCTATTGTGAAGCGTCTTGCAGGAAATCTTATAAATATTTGATTATTCCTTTCAGCTGCTGCAAGGATTCTGCGTTCACGCCCCAAGACGCGCTGGGGGAGCGGCGTTCGGGAACTCCTCTCCCGGTTGGGGCGCCCCGGGCGGGCGGCTGCTGGTCGCGGAGAGAGCCTGCCGCCGACACCTGCCTGCTCCCCGCCCCGCGCCCCTCCCCGGCCCCGGGCCGCGGAGGAGCCCCGGCAGCGGTCCGGGAGGGGGGTGCGGGCGCCGGGGCCCAGCCCCTCGGCCTCGGGGCGCGGCGCACAGCCCAGCTTGCCGCGGTTCTGCGCGCGCCGCGGCGGGGACCCGGATTCCGGGTCCCGCACCTCCGGCCGGGTCGCCGCCCGAGCCCTGTCGGGAGGGGCTTCCCGAGAGCGGGTCCCACTGGCTCGGGAGCGGGTGGCCCCCGCGCAGCTGCCCCGACGACACTCGCGGGTCGGGACCCCAGCCGGGCAGCGGCCCCGGCGGCCCGACGTGCGCAAGACGCCGGGGTCGCGGCGCACGTGGGGGCGTTCGCCATTGATTGATTGATTGATTGTTGGAATTTTTGAGACCTCTTTATTTTCTCCCGATTTGCAAAGAAGTAAAAACAGCATACACGTAACTCAGCAGCTTTGTGAGGCTCCAGAAAGAAGTGTCCTGAACATTAGGTAGGTTAAGTAAGTTTGCTTTTAAAAACCCATGAAACTTTCGTATTTTCTAGTCCCGGCCCCCTCCTCCCCCCGACCTCCCTATAGTCTGGTCTCTGACACATATTCAGGCCACTTGTTTTCCAACCACATCTTTTTTCTTGGTAGTGTTTGATCCTTATCTGACAGAAATTGTTACAGATGTCACTCAGTGAACGGCTTAGCACTGACCATCGGCTTAAGGTGGAGAAACGACGAGCAGGAGATCGGAAAACGTCGACGTCTCCCGGGCTGACTTCTCACGTTCAACGGGGAGCGGTGCACGGGGTCGGTTACAACTTTTACTCAGAACCCTTGTGGCCTTCTGTTTTACTTTTACTTCCGCGTTGCTTCACTCCACAATTATTGAGAACATACTTCAAGGTGATCCACTATAGCAGATCTTTTTGAATCGCTAATGTTTATTCTGGAGAATAATTTCAGTTCAGCAACGCCATGGGAGGTTCTCAGTACGGTCTGCCCGGAAGAGTTGGGCCGGCCAACGAATACGATGCTCCCGGCTCATTTCAAATAGCCCCCCAAACATATTACGCAATTAGAATACCCAAGTGTTACAAACACCTTTACTCCACACCTTAACAAGGGAAATTTAGAGGTTAACTTTAAGTCTTTAACTAAGAGACTCCCAGAGTTGGAGTTAACATTTTTCTTTCAAATTTGTACTACCTTAATAAGAAAAGTCACCACTACAAACGGAATAAGTTATTTTATTACAAGAACAAAACAGACTTGCTAATTTTATGTCTAATTTCACCCATATTACAAATGCAAAGTATATATTATCATAGGATGTAGGTTACTGAACTCCAAAATATTGTGCATAAGTGAAATAAACTCAACTTGCAGAATTAGAACATTAAAGTATCTACAGTCATTATAAATAGTGCAAAGTATATACCGTATCTACAACGCGGGGGGGGGGTATAAACATGTGAAAATGAGCTTCTTACGGAACAGTGAGAACATTTGTTTGAACAATTTAAAATATTAACAAGGGTGCTCAAATACAGAACTAACCAAGTCATTTATTTTTTCTCCTTTTTTAAAAAAAACTGTCGAGCTTCTTCCCAGGCCGCCTGAGGAAATCTGTTAGCCAGCTCGAGATAGTCTTGGGAACCAAGGGATTTTCCTGAGAGGAAAAAAAGAATAGTTAAATTCTTTGAAGTTTAAGCAACTGAAATTATTTTGATATCAGACTACAGAATGGAGACATGCACTTCAAATAAACCATGATGTAAGTTTATATAAAGGAGGTAATTGATCTATATCTACCTACAGCATAATATATATATATGCACATTTTAATCACAATTTATTTGTGATTGCTTCTAACATATTCAGATATTAACCCCTCTGTAAAACATTACAAAAAATTGTTTTTGGATTCCAGAATAAGAAAATAGGGGAAATAAGTATGGTGAACAAAATAAAATGACAGATATTCCATTCTTAAGATAGGCTTGAAATTGTAAATCTGTATGTAAACTTGACATTTGTCACCTAAAATAGTCTAATTTAAAATATTTTAAGTATAACTTTATAAGAAAGCTCAAATCTGGCATTCAGTCATCCGACAAAGCAGAGGGAATGAGTCAGAACTTTATTGGTTATTGATGTAGGCAAAGAAAACAGTCTCCTGCTGGGCAGTGATCAAGCAGCGAGTATTTGAACACCAGAACTCTTCTTTAGCGATAAGAATGTGGTGCTACCAGGCGCTACTTTACACTTACAATGCAGAGCTTCACATGGGCCATGAACTCAAAATGGCTTGAAACATTTTATGGGGACTAAATCTAAGCAAAAGGGGAACAGACGTCCAAAGTGCAGACTGGCACTTAGTGTGGCATAATCGTTTCTTTTAAACCAAGTAAGCATATCAGGAGTTGTCACTAATATAACGATGACCCTTTCTGACAAATGCAGAGAACACGGCCCCATTTGCTGTATTGTGGATTAAGCCCAGTGTAATTGGGGAAAGCATGGACGTCAGAGAAGATGGGCCCTTGGAAAAGAAAGTAAGTTAAACTCCCACAGGCCTCAGCCCACCAAGCAGACAGAGGCAGCTCTTGGGACTCTGCCTGCCAGATATGGAGCAAATGGTGACTCATCCTTACAGCCAGGAGAAAGGAAGAAAAAAGAATGTCTATACTTCTTACTGGCAAAAAAAAATTGCTGTACAATTAAAAATGAATACATTAGAAGATTTTTCAAGACATTTTCATATATTCAAAATTTAAGACATTGTTTTATAAGAAATAGTAACAAATTATACTGATTTCTCCCACATAGCCTCCAATAGCTTTAAAAAAAAAAGGCTGTGAGGAAATCAGGGCAGACCTGAACTTGCACACTAATTCTGGCTTAGACAAAGTATACCGACAGTGATGTTGACTGGAATTTCTGAAAAGGGCCATAGCTTTCTGTTTACTTCTCTGAATGCCTGAATCAATAAAACATGACTTTTTTTCATGATATTGTTACAGCTTTATGTTCTTTTCTATATACTTTTCAACACCTGCCCCCTATAGATAATTGGGGCCCGTGTGCGTGCGTGTGTGTGTGTGTGTGTGTGTCCAAGGTGACTCCCCACCCCTCCAAGTAAGGGCTAATCGGTGGGTGCCCTGGAGGGTCCTGCTGGGAGTGGGCCTCTAACCACTTTAAAGACTATCACACTAATGGAAGAATTGGGGAAAATCTGTATTAGGGTCTCATTAATCAGAGATGCTGTCCTGACAGACAAAGAGCAACTTGTACTTCTCAATTACAGTGTGTATAGAATATTTAAAAAAGTAAAAATGCACTTTAAAATTCTACATCTCCAGCTCTGATCATAGGAAACACCTCAGCAGGAACACTACAGGAAAAAAAAAACTTGTAAATCTTTTGGCCCCTGAACTCTTGCTAATCTGATGGCTTTTTCTCCATGTAAAACAATTTTATACTTTTTATTTTCAATAAAAAAATTCAAGTACTTGAATTTAGGAGGGAAAATATGGGCTACTATCATTAATAATTTTATTCTGAACACAGATAGGAAACCAAACTGATGTGATTTTAGCATTTATGTGAGGGAATGTAGGCCATGTAGAATGATCTGCTTGTCTCCTGTATTATGAAGCAGCTCTTTAGTAATTATTCACCATTTATTGTATCTTGCATGACGTGAATATAAATTACATAAAGATGTTTTGTGCTTTTCTTTTACTTCCATAGATTTCTGTGTCTATTCTGATGCATTCATGCTTGATAAGAAAATTTGTTTCTTTACTCATTGAAATATACTTGATATCCGGATCTCAAATGTTTTAGGTGATGTAATAAATTGATTTCTGTAACAGCTCCAGAGGGTGGAGTTAGCAACATGTCTGTTCGGCTAACAAACACACGGCATTTCATTTCAATAGAGACGTACCTTTGGGCTGATAAGACTGGTTATCTGCCTGACCTGGAGTCTGTACAAAATCCTGTGTGAGACAAGAGAAGTGTTTTTATACCAAGACTAGGAACAGAGAATTTCGCTGAGGGCAGCTTTAAATATGCTTCTGAATTCTGAGACAACTATCTTTGCATATTCAAATACTTTGGAGGCCAAATATAAAAGCTTAAGAAGCTGATGTTCAGGTTCTCTTAATTTAAATCAAATAGGGATGACTCACGTCTTGCTACAGATCAGCAGGGGCTATGGCGCTACCTACTGTAGAAACTACAAGTTTATTTCAGCTAACAAACTGAAGGCTATAGCCAGATTTATTATCCTAAAATATTGACAGGTTTTTAACATTTTTAAAAAAAGCATAATTCTAAAAGCCCTTATATATTCTGCAGCTAAATCTTAAAAGTCGAGTAATTTTACTTTTAGATGGAAAGTGAAAAATATCGTAAATATGTATATTTTTCAGAAACCTATGACAAACCACCGGCTCCTATTTTTAATATCATTTTCTAGTGGCTATTAATAATCTAACACAGGGGAACCTCCAAGAACCATTCTATAAACTAAAATCTAATATATATTCCTTCCCCTGATAATAATTACTTATAGAAAAAAATCCTGATTCAATTTCACTCATCTAAGAAGCTATCCCAAATAAGAAATTTCTGTAACATGTACAAAATGTGTGCGTCCAAACGTATGTTAAATGTGTTACATTAAATTACATTTCAGTGTGTGTCAGAAATACTTGAAGAACAATACGAGATGAAAACAAGTAATATATATGTTCTTTACTTTAGATTCTGATACCATGTGTATTTTTATAAATTATTTTCCAAGCAGCTGAAAATGTAAGGGACTAAGTTGGTACAGAAGCAAGGCTGTCCTTGCTCAACCATCACTGTCTTGGGTGAGGCCTCTCTGCCCATCACCCCCGGCGGCCCCCATCCCTCTTCCCTGCCTTCCTTTTCTGCACAGCGCTTAACGCCATCTGACATGCTATTTGTTTGACTTATTTTTGTTTGTTTGACTCTCCCTACTTTAATGAAAGATCTATAAAGGCAGGAATTTTTATCTGTTTTTTTGATTGCTGTATTCCCAGTGCCTAGAGCAGTGCCCAGTACACCAGAGGCACTCAAAAATTACCTGTTGAATAAGAGAATGAATTTTAAGATCACAGTCTTAAAAATCCTCTACACTGTATTTTCTATTTAATTTTTAATCATAAGTCTTTAAGAATATGAGAATTCTTAAATGTTGATATGATGGTTATGCAAGACTTTATTAAGATTTTAATTTAACCATAAGATTTTTTAAAATCCATACCCTACCTGTGGATCTGGATAGCTTTGAAAAAATTTTCAGAAAATAGAACCCAGATTCAAAGAGAACAACTAAGCTGAAAGTAGACATTTCTAAACACAACTGATCTAGTTGTGTTCATTAACTGATCACCTAATAGAGGATAGTTTAAAAAATGTAAACCACTAACTGCTATCTAAGGTGAAGAAAGCTTGAGTCTTTAGCCATCCCAACCAGCTGGGCAGGATCGCATCCTTTCAACAGTGATATACGTATTTTAGCCAGAATAAGGAACAACACTAATACAGAGCTCTGCTTTCTGTTTCATTATTACGAACAGAAAACAGTCTGTTAATCACATGTATGTCATGGAACAAAAACACACTGGTTTTTATGGTAGAACGTTTCAAAGAAAATGGAAGATTTTCAGCAATTCAGGATTAACTATTAGCAACTGTTAAAGAATAGCCAACTTGATTTTCTATTGTTAGTTGACTGAGTTGATTTAGATGTGGAAACATTGCTTTACTTTGCTACAGCGCTAATTCTGATTCCCATCCTATAGACTTGAGCTGGATCAGAAAAATATAAGGCCATTCTTACAAGCGTTAGAGCTTTTTACAAAGATATATAACAGGATTTTATTACACATACACACATGTGCGTATGAATCATACTTATTTAAAAACTTACAAATCAACTGAAGTTTTACTTGATCTTTCTTCTGCAATTCTTATCTATTCCCTGTAGCTAGACTAAAAGCTAGATGAATGTAAATGCTAAAGCCTTAAAGAAGTCTGGCCATCTTTTTAAAAACATTTCCTTGGTGTGGGTTTACCATTTCGTCAACTGAAAAAATATCCTTTTCTTGAAATCCTCCAAGTAGAAGTTATACAACACTCAACACCAGTTTTACTATCCTCATATTTTAGAAATTAATTTTTAAGCACAGAAATATGTGCAAAATTTAAGAGATACTGTGGATGGCAAGAATAAACGGCTGGTTCACTTTTACTTTTCAACTGCATTAGCTTACACATAAAGCCAGAGGATCAGGCATAAGACAGAAGGTACCTGAATGAACGTGGCCAGTAAAACACAGCTCATCTCTTGCTCCAGAATGATCTTGTTCTGACGGTTGTTGTAACAAGCAGCGATAAGTGAAGGGAAGAGCACTTTGATCAGCCGTGGGTCACTGAAATACTGGAAGGGCAGCTGGCAGAGCTTCTGCAGCACCGTGGGGTGGCGGCCAGACTGTACAATTACCTGAAACAGGAGCGAACCTAGGTCAACTGCCAGAAAGCTGGGCCCGCCCTTCCTCCTGCATCCCCCAACAGTGTCTGGGAGAACCATGGAGAACAGGCGGAAGGTGTGTAAGGAGAGAGAGAGAGAGAAAAAAAGAGACTCCGAACTCCTAAGAGATATTTGAAAGGAACAGAAAGTAAAGAAATCTCATTTCCTAACTTAAGGAAAAGATCCCCAAAATTCTGTAGCCATTTATACTCCACAGTGAAGAGCAAGGCTGCCATGGGGAGAGGATACCTCTGAAATGGATTCAAGATGCACACTGCTTTAACTAAGCGCCTGCCCCCATCCCCCTTAAAGTGGAGCAGCCCTATGCCCTGAAACCTGCAAAGAGCTCGCTCAGAAGAAAGATGCCCTCTCTTACCTAGCCTCAGCCCGCTGCAGTCCTCCCCTAACCTAGCTCCTGACAGACCTCTTCAGTATGCAGATGAGCCCTTGGAAAGAAAAGGGGACTGACTGTAAGGGGAGTGGGAAGTTTCAGCAAGCACAGGCTCCAAAAGATCCTTCCTCTGATCCAAACTCCTTATCTGTGTTTCCATCAGTGCCATTGAGTCTAAAAGGAGAATTGTTTAGATAAATGAGACTCTTGTCTTGAAGCAGTCTAGGTTTACAACTGTGTACATTTTAAGAAATGGGGCAATGCAATTAATGGGCTTGCAGGGAAGCTCTCCTAATTTACTCCCTAGGCCTATATGATAAACTAAGAAATGTCAAAATCAGGTCTGTTTCAAGTAACCTTGATTAGACGGTTCTAATACGAAAGAGCTGGGTGACCCAAAGCCCACTTCTTGGTATAAGAGGAAGCTCACAGAAAGTTAGGAACACTGTAAAATCTAAGGTCAGGACTGTAAATTGTACTTGGAAAAACATAATTTTACAGGTACACACCCAGACAGGACTGCATTCAAATTAAAACCAGAAGGACAGAATGAAACAGCAGAGGCAGGAGAAACATAAATTACAGGGATTTACAAGTTTTCAAAGTACTTTTAACAATACTTTAAGAACACACTCTCAGATGATAATGCAGTTTGGTTTAAGAACAAAATCAACAAAGTAATAGTTCACATATTTTAGTTCAATAGCTAAAATGACATCAAAAACCTTTAGAGAATGTTGATAGGGACTTGTTAATACCTTCAAATCCAGCAGGAATTTTAAAGACTCACAGTGTGACAATTCAGCACATGGCTATGTGCTGCCATTTCTGACCACTGGCTGAGAAAAATATGTCCCATCATCTATTTTACTGATAAAGCATTTACTTAAAGCTTTAATTATTAGCTACAAATTTTGTAGCACAGCCAAATGACCACCACTTTAGAATCTATAATGATACCATTATTCCAAGTCTCTTTTCCCCCTTGTCCAAAAATGAAGCGGAAGTTTTTTTCTTTGGAACTTCATTGTTAAAATGCTATTATTGGAAGATTCACTAATTGCAAAGATATTAAACCGGCCAGTCTGGCTGGCACGGGCACAATGCTAACTTGAAGACAACTGCTGGTTCCTGGTAAACGAGCACAGAACGTGCAAGCTTAACGAGAACTTCCTCCCCCGGACCCCTGCCCCTCGCTGGGCTGCAGGAGAGCCCCTCAGGGGTCTGTCAGTCCCCTCCAGGAATGGAGCTGGCTCTTCTTTGCTTGTTGAAGGAGTGAGTTTACAGAGGTCACCAGCAGTGTGGTGAGACGACCTGCCAGAAGCCACTACTTTTAAGTCCCTGTGGTGCAGAAGACACAAATGGATGTAGGAAGTTTGGTCACCTTGGGTAGGGTGTTCTACCCACAGGATCACCCAGGATAGAACTTAATCAGGGTACAGGTTTAGGGGTCTGCCAGGGGTGCTAAGAGCCACACTCCCTGGCTGGGCTGTGAGCCAGTGGGACATCTCGTCGGCACTGTCCTTAGAACCACATTTCAGACATTGTGGGAAGATAGGCTTAGGAAGTCTAGGAGGGGGCCAACCTGTAGCACTGAGACTTGGTGGGCAAGACCACTCCTGGGTAATTCAGGGGGGCTTTTGGTACAGGGGGGTGGCATTTTGCTGTCAATGAGCACAGCGGAGTGGTCAGCTGCAGTAGGCTCAGCACTTCCCACAGGGGCAGGGAAGCAAGGCTGGGGCACGGAGAGCATCACCTTGCCACCCAGGGCCTTGTGCGCCTGGACAGAGTTGCCTGAGAGGCTGTGGACAGATCAGGGCCTGAGGGCAGGGCTCAGGTTTATTTCATCCAGTCATTGGCTCCCAGGCCTTGGGGTGGTCAAGTGTCACCATGAGCTGCTCCAGCTTTCCAAAGTCAATAGAGAGTCATCGTGGAATATGAAAGTCTTGGCGAATGAATGGAATGGAAATAGTTAAGAAAAATCTCAGATTTACAATGATGTTTTCTCTCTCTATGCCTTCCCGGTGGAGCTGTAGCTCAGTCAGTAACTATTGGTCTGTCACCTTTCTCCAGACAAGCAGCTGCTGCTAAGGCCTAAGGTGAGCACCACCCTAAGCCTGGCCAGGCCACCTGCCCTTCCTTTCAGGGCACACAGGCCAACACATCCCCAGGGGGGCTTCCCACAGAGCTCCTTTCCAGACCAGTGCCCCAAGAGAAAGGAGGCGCCTGGCTGTAGATTTCTTTGGGGGTCATAGTCATCAGTTAGATAGCATGTAGGGAGCTGGTATGGGTCCATAATAATGAGAAGACCCCCCCTCTCCAATATGATGTCCACTTCCAGATGCAGAGTAGGGCTCCAAGGAAACCAGGGGAATTTCCAGCAACATTCAGATCAAAAGAAATTGAAATTGAACTTTCCACTCGCTCTTAGGTGCAATTTTAAAATAGGTACTAACTAAAGAGCTGGGAGGCCTGGGTTCCTGCCTTTACTCTGGGCACCAACTCGCTGTATAACCCTGGGAAAATGGTTCAATTTCTCTGGGTTTCGAGGTGGAGAATTTTTTCAAAAGTAAACTTTTCACCAAAGTATAACATACATGCACCTCTCAAGTGAATCGCTCAATTTTTATAAAGTGAATATACCTGGGTCACCAGTACCCAAATAAAGAAAGAGAATATGACCAAGGGTTTTGGATCCTTAAATATATTCCTTCTCACTCAAAATTAGATTCCTAGACTTTGAATTTAAGACAAATCATACAGAAACTATTTGGCTGTGCTAGAACATAAGAGAGTACTATATGCAGCACGGGTCCCTCCTCTGGTCTTCTCAGCAGAGGCCAGTGGGCATAATTCCATCATCAAGGAAGGACATCTTTTACCCAAATGCCCTGGTATTCACCACTTTTTTCTTCAGTATAAATGACAAGGGATTGGGGGAATGAAGGAGGGGGAGGGACCCCCCCCCACTCCCTCTCCGTTTTGGAACTATCAACAGTTCTGGGAAGAGGGGCTTTAAAAGAAGGAAAGTTACATGCTGCCAATGTGTGCTACAGCCTGGTGGAGGGCCAGGAGGATCTGAATGCTAGTGTTAAGAAGGAATCTAGTAAAAAAAAAAAAATTTTTTTTTTAAAGGAATCTGTACCAGACAAGTGGATGTGCTGATTCTTTCATCTGCCGACCTCTGGCCACTCACCAGCTCCAATCTTTGTGCGTTCTACAAAGTAGAGAGTATAGGTGAAGTATAACTTGGTGCAGTGAGAGAGAGCCAGGAGAGAACTCTAAATTCAGTGGACATTTAGTGAGTGCCTCCTGTGCTCAGTGCTATAGGAACACAGAGAGAATCCATGCTTTAGTTCTCGGGGAGCGGAGGCATGTACACAAATGATAGACTAATACAAAGGAGACTGGCTCATCAGACAGGGAAGGACAAAGGATTAGGGGACCTGGTGGGAGGGAAGGGTTACTCCTTAGGTGAATGTGGAAGGCTGCACTGAGAAGGTGGGTTGGACCTTCAGGGCCAATTGGTGGAGGAATTTTAGGTGGAGAGAAGCTCCCAGATTCAAATACCAGCCTGTTTTAGTCTGTTCAGGCTGCCATAACAAAATACCATAGACTGGGTAGCTTAAACAATGGAAATTTATTTTCTTACAGTTCTGGAGCCTGAAAGTCTAAGATCAGGATGCCAGCATGGTCGATGAGTGCTCTCTTCCTGGTGTGCAGACCAACACCTCCATGAGTCCTTGTCTCGCTGAGTGCACACGAAAAGAGAGAGCTCTCTTCCTAGTCTTACAAGGCCACCAATCCTACCTCATTAAGACCCCACCCTTATGACCTCATTTATCTCCAAGTACAGTCACATTGGGGGGTTAAGGTACAAAATATGAATTTTGGGGGACACACCTCAGCCCATAGCAGAGCGCTAACTGATTCCTCATTGCCCCTGGCCAGAACAATGTTTCATTAGAAAGACTAGCCTCGCTAACCAGGTCTATTTCAGAGTTGATTGGGGATCAATTGTCTCTTGGTGGCTATAAGCCACACATCTACAGGCTCAAGAGTGCTTGCTGTGGGGTAGCCCTGGGCTCTAAGGCTAGCTCTGGTCAGTTAACCAATTTGAGCCTCAGGGTTCTTTCTATAAAATAGGGATAGGTATTCTGCACAGCAAAGGAAACAATCAACAAAACCAGAAGACAACCTACAGAATGGGAGCAGATATATGCAAATGACATAAGGGGTTAGTATCCAAAATGTATAAAGAACTTATAGAGGCGCCTGGGTGGCGCAGTCAGTTAAGTGTCTGACTCTTGATTTTGGCTTGGGTCATGATTTCTGGGTCCTGAGACTGAACCCCACTTTGGGCTTCTTGCTGGGCATGGAGCCTGCTTAAGATTCTCTCTCTCTCCTTCTCCCTCTGCCCCACCCCCACTCCCGTTCGCACGTGTGCTCTCTCTAAAAAAAAAAACCAAAAACCAAACTTATACAACTCAACACCCAAAACCCAAATAATCCAATTAAAAATGGGCAGAAGACACAAACAGACATTTCTCCAAAGAAGAGACCTGAATGGCCAACAGACACA